ATGACAATGCCACTACTTCCAACATGGTCAGAAGCATTTTAGCTTTTTTTTGTATCATCTCCCCCTGCTGCTTCAACTGCTGGTTCATACACCCTCAAATACTCATTGGGGTCTGTATCTCCTTTGTATTTTGTGATGTTTGATAACTTGAAATTTGCTGGCCAAGGTGCCATTTGCAAATTCTTAGAGGGTTCTTAGAGTCTATTGCTCTGGTAGGTTGAAAGTAATGTTGCGTGGATTGGAATTGGAAAGCTTGGTTTGGTATTTGACCTGTGTTGTATGTGATTGGCCATTTGTGGGATGTATCCTTGTTCAAGTACTATTTCTGGTTCTTGTACACGAAAAGGGGAAAAACCTTGGGAATGTTGGTTATGGTTTTGAGTTGCTTGAGTATTTGGCACTTGCATATGTGCAAAGGTGGGTTGGGATTCCTGAACTTGGGGTATTCTATTTTTGAGGAATTTGTATTTGTGTTATGTCATTTTGTGGAAAATGTGTTTGTGGGATGTCACTTTGTGGGATTTGTATTTGCGGGATATGGATTTGATTGTTCTGTGCATGGGATTGGGGGATCTGGATCTGGTTGGTGAGGATTTGGTGGCTTTGGTTTGGGGGAATTCAGGTTTGATGGGATTGTGTTTCAGGGTATTGTATTTGGGTGGGAACTTAGGTTTGAACGGAAATATGTGGTTGAATGGGAATGTGTGTTTTAATGGGAAGTTGGTTTTGGAGAGAAAGTTGTGTTTGAATAGGAATTTGGTTTTGAACAGGAGTTTGGATTTGAGCTATAAATTGAGAATTGAGCTTGAACTTGATTCTGTGTTATGTTAGGATTTTGAGTTTGAGCTGTATTTTGGTTTTGGCTAGGAGTTTGGCTTTGAGGTGGGTTTTGAACTTGGGTGGTTTTGATGCTTTCTCCTTCTTTGTTTTCCTTCCAGGCATCTTCCTTGGGGAGTTCTAATGGGCGATCGATCGCCCTACCGATCTGGTAGCGATCGGTAGCCCCCCCCTCCTCCCCCTCCCTCCCTCCACCTGGTTTCCTTTTTTGGCACCGCATTACTTTCCTATTTTAGTAAATTTATACACCTAAAGTTTATACACCTCAAGTTTACACATCTAAAGTTTAGAGACCAAAAATTTATAAGTCAAAAGTTTATATATCCGATTCAAATTTGAATTTGAATTCAAATATTTTTTATATATAGTATTTCTATACATCTAAAGTTTATACAGCTAAAGTTTATAGACCTAAAGTTTATAAGTCAAAAGTTTATATATCCGATTCAAATTTGAATTTGAATTCAAATATCCGATTCAAATTTGAATTTGAATTCAAATTTTTTTCATATATAGTATTTCTATAAATCTAAAGTTTATACACCTAAAGTTTATAGACCTAAAGTTTATATACCCGATTCAAATTTGAAGTCGGGTATATAAACTTTTGATTTATAAACTTTGGGTCTATAAGCTTTAGGTGTATAAACTTTAGATGTATATAAATACTATAAAAAATATTTTAATTCAAATTTAAATTTGAATCGGATATATAAACTTTTGATTTATAAACTTTGGGTCTATAAACTTTAGGTGTATAAATTTACTAAAATAGGAAAGTAATGCGGTGCCAAAAAAGGAAATGTGGAGGGAGGGAGGGGGGAGGGATGGTCTGATCTGATTGCTTTTCACCAGCCCCTAGTGCTACACCTTGATCACTTGATCCTCCTGCTCCTACTGCCTGGTTGTGTAGAGCTTGCAATCTTTGCAACTCTTTTTGTAACTCCTCATATTGTCCCTTACTTACCATGACAGCCCCTTGTGCTTGGACCAATTCAGCAAGTTCTACTTCAGTTAGGGGTGTTTTCCCTGTTTCTTCTACTACTATGTTAGCAATCCTTTCTTCCTGGTTTGTTCTATTGGCCACCGTTGATGTGGATGTCTTAGACATCTCTGCCCATCGTTTGTCAACTGCTTTCGTAGCTTTTACCAAATCACTTTCCTCTACTACGTTTTCCCACTCTCTCTCAAGTGCGTCTGTTGCGCTTGCAAAAGCTCCCGTATAGCGTACTAGCACAGTTTTCTATCATTGCGAGCATCGCATTTGCTGTTTGAACCCAATCCATCGGAGACTTTATGTGTCCACGGACGGCGCCACTATCGTGACCTTGAGTCACGGACAAAATTGGGGATAGACCAGGAAAAAGGTATTTCTCTGTCTATCCTTGAGAATGAGTTCAAACAACAAACACACCTTTTGAGGGTTACTTTTGTTATAAAAATGTCTTGTCCTGCTACAGGGATTTGACCAGCTTTTTATAGCCCACGGTCTTACATGTTAGATTACATTTATGCACCGTACAGGTTTATAGTGTAATTACTATAATGCCCTTGCCACATCATCAGTGCTAGGGGCATTAAGGTACATTTTCAGGGTTAATAAGGTCTTTCGGCTCCAGCTGGCAGGAGTGATTGAGAAGTGGTCCCCACAGAATCTTCCATTTGACTCTCCCCTTGTCCAAATGGATTTTCCCTTTCAAGACACCTAGTCGGATGCCTCATGTGCTCTTTGGGACTTGTTTATTCTTCTCCACCTTCAACTCCCGAAGCGAACCTGCCTCACTTAGTTCATGAGCAAAACAAGTTACAAATGACAAACCAACTTGGTCATGTTCTCTTTACTCGAAAATAACTTTCCAGCTCGAGAAGAACTTTCCGGCTCGAGAGGAACTTTCCAGCTCGAGAGAAACTTTCCGGCTCAAGAAGAACATTCCATACTTGAGTGTTACGATTGAATAGGAGGGATGGCGATGACCCCCTGTTACAACATTGTGATTTTCTTGCAACGAATTCATATTCTTGACAGAATATTCAACGACCGTTTGTCGCATAGGTGTGAATTTCAAGCAAAACAATATCGTTTTGTTTCAAGCATAGCATTACCTTCTTTTTTACGTGTGTTGTACATGCGTGATTACCGGTAAGTCATATAACAAAACTTTCAATAACATTTGTTGCAATATTTAATTACATTTTCCTCTATATGTTCCATGGTTGAATAAATTACGTTACTATAGCCAAGGAATCACATATGACATGTCATTATTTCTTACTTGAGCTTCTATGCTGGAAGTAGAAACACTACTACAGAACACCATAAAGCTGCCGGTTGCATACCTGGCATACGTGCTAGTTTCGCAGTTGGCACCAATTATCCAGCACCAATGACGTCATTGGTGATAGTTGAAGAACCAACACCTTTGTCCTCTCCCCGATTAAAAAAAAGAGAGAAGCCGACTCCAAGCATCGGCTCGGCTCGATGAGTTGATCGTTTCGAGCAACACCTAATCCCATCCATTGCAAATCACAAACTAACAAACAATTCTCCCCATCCATCACAGATCAATAACAATAATATGCATCCCATCATTCATATATAACAGATCAACAACAACAATTATCACAGATCACAGATCAACAACAACACAAGATCAAGAACTACATAAGCAAGATGAAGGCACTCTCCCCGGTCTCGCCATCATTGCCAATCCGTGTCGCCGTCAGAGGAGCAATGTGGAGGTCGCTGCTAGCAGTCGGGTCCTCTCCACGTCGAGGTCGCTGCCGGGGTACGTCTCTCTCTGCACCGAGGTCACCGCCGCTAGATCTGGTGGCACGACTGGCAGCGGTGATGGATGTGGCGCGGGTGGTGACGGGGCAGTGGCGTGGAGAGAGGAGAGGACGATGTGGTGGGAGGAGAGGGCGAGTGTGTGTGTGTGTGTGAGAGAGAGAGAGAGAAAGAGAGAGAGATAGCGCGAGAGAGATGACTTTGGTGGGGTTAAGCGGTGGCTTGCTCTGGTTATTTTTTTAGGTACCAGTTTTCTAAGAACTGTACCTATAATATATTATAAGAACCAGTTTATATTTAGAACCGGGACCTATAGTTTTTCAAAGGTGCTGGTTTCTTTTTTTTTCCTCACATGGTGGAGGGAAACGGTCAATATGTGTCGGTTTTAAATAAACCAGTAGATATGAGCCAGTACGTTTTTAGTAGTGAAAGTCATCCAAACTGTTGACTTTATTTGATCGATGGGTTCGGATCTATTTATACTACCACCCCAAATAGAGATAGAAAAATGTGGAGGGGTATTATTGTTAAAAAAGGTGCAGATGTGTGTAATCTTCATTTAGTAGGGACTAAACCTTCTTTCTCCATTTTTTTTGTGGCTTATTTCGATGGAATATGAGCATTGCTAGCGCAATGGATGACCACAAATCGATCTAGCCGAAAAAAGAAATAAATGACAAAGTTACCCCCAATCAATTGATGACGATTAGGGTCCCGATGTTCCGTTAGGTACTGATAAGTCGATTATGGAGACTCGACATTAATGATCCGAAGGCTTCGATCAGGACAACTGAACCCCTTGCTATCACTACACCACCCACTGTTGGTTATCACCCGAGCTGAAACACAGTTGATTTCGCCGATAAGGCAATCTCCTGCAAGCGAATCGTGTACACGCAAGAGGGCAGAAGATACAATCTGAATATATTGCTAATTAGGATGAAACTCACAAGTTAGGGTTCCACAAACTGAACTAGCAGAGAAACAACGATGGCAGAATAATCTAAGCAAAAACCTATCCTACTTCAATAAAGGCTACTCATTACATAGGTTCTAAGGTCAACCTAAGACCCTTGGACACATCCCTAATAGACTCCAGCATGATATACGGCCCAACATACTTAAAGACGGTAATGTAGAACCCGAACAGATTCTAGACGCTCTCTTGTTTTGATGATTCCTGTTGACTTAGAAGTAATTTCGATGTGAGTCTGGGCAATGATCTGAGTGCAAGCTGCTCATGGATGACAAGATGGGCTTGAACTTAAAATGAATGGACCTCCGTCTCCTAGTCCCGTGCTTAGCGTATCTAAAATAATGATGTACTCATCATCATTGTATTAGTGCATTACTAATTTACCTTATTGACGAACGGATCAGATCATTTCTGCTAGTAGTATACTACTAGCAGAAGAGTACCGAAGCATCACTCTACCTACCTACTATTATCATTTAGTAATGTTACAGTAAGGGCCTTGCCAGCAAATATGATCTTCTTACTGATCAAATCAAATAAAAATTATTGGACAAAAGGCGAACAATGTCTCCCCAATGGTCCGCTATATCGAATCATAGACGCACAAGATGTCTTAAATATAAATAAGATGCACGGCAGCATCAATCACATTAAGCAGATCCTCCAATGCTGCACGAGCAGTTTGGGGAGTTTTCGGGTGGCTTTGTTCTGATAAGCGGGTTCCTCTCGAAGAAGTTGGATGGACGGACCTCTAATGCACCGCTGATAGTTGGCATCACTGGGAAGTCCTCCTGGTACGGAACATGGTGCAGACCAACCGTATACCACAGTACAATGTCTTCATCCTTTATACTTCTGTTCCTGCCCCAGCATAGCCACGCCGTGGCCGTTCATGCGATGAGCTATATATATGGCATAGACAAAAGTCAAGTCATGGAGACATACCTCTTGCTCCAGGCGGCCAAGTTGTCATCTCCCGTGCTTTGCTCGGCGTATAATCCGGATGCCCACTTCTCCGACTTGTTATACGGCGTAACCCAGACCTGCTTCTTGGTGTAGCTTGCACGGCGCTCCGGGTAGTCATCGTCGGCCAACAATGACGTTGCTGTCGCACCAGTTGGAATGAGCCGGTAACCTACCTCATTGCCAATCTTCATCTTCTTGCTCGGGTTGACGAAGAGGAGGTCAGCAGGAGCGCTATTAATGTTCACCTGGCCTTCCGCCTCAGTCTCGGCAACCTCATATAGTACTGTCCAGTAGCTCCTCCTCGGTGTGGGAGCACCGCCGGTTGCACGAACGCCAGTGTTGCACTTAGGAACGATGTTGTTTTTGATGAAAGAGTTCCGGGTGCCATCAATGTCGAGGTCGAGGTGGTAGGTAACAAAGTGGTCATGGTAGACACCGATGGTGTTCTCGGTGATCAGCGTGCCATGTGTGTCTTCCCTGATTTGGTCGACGTGCGTGTAGTTTATGGCCTTCATCTCCAGGATACCGCTAAGAGACACCTGCAATATATGCGGCGATTGAGTGACAGACAAGGCAGACGATAAAAGGTTGTCAATCCATCTATTCCAAAATATAAGATGTTCAATTTTGTTTTAAGTCAAACTTCTCCATTTAATCATATTTATAGAAAAAATACAGCAATATCTAAACATCACACTGATATATTTATAAACTAAGTCAAAAATTCAAAAAGTTTGATTAGAACAAACTATAACTTCTTATATTTGGGAACAGAGTTAGTACGCATACCACAATCTTAATGGAGCCAACGGTCTTAAACTCCCAGTCCAATGTGTAGTCATAGTTCCCAACCGTCACCACCATCCTCACCACCAAGGTCACGTCCGGCCGGACCTCCGAGAACTGCAGCGAAAACCATGCACATCAAACAGTAGTTCCATCTTCCAGCAAAGGAGACATCAGAGAGACAGAGACTATGTTGGGTCATCACCAATCCGCCCAGCCCAATGCCATTGGTGTGGCGCCATGCGACATCACCAGCGTATCGCTCGAACAGACAGATCACGTCCTCGGCTTTCACGGGCTTGCCGTCGGAGCCGGCGTAGTAGCCATCCATGTAGACAGCGTTGGCTGGGCAGTCGGCACCACGCTGAAGCTGCGACGCCAAGGCTCCGAGGCCGTACTCGCCGGCGTCCGTGAACGTGTGGAAGTACCACTCCTCCTCCGGATCCATGTACGGTACGAAGATCTCCGAAACGAAGCCGCGGTAGAGCACCCGCCGCTTCAGCCCACCGGCATCGGTGTCGTTCACCGAGGCCAGAGAGATGACCGTGCCAGCGCGCATGTCAAAACCCACATGGAACTCCCAGTTGGCCCATCTGTAATGCTCATTATTGTGCATCAAAATTGTAACATGTGGCACCTAATTAAATTTTCTTCTGGCGGTTTGCATATCTCGGTGAATGTTAATTCAAAACGAAATTACGGAGATTTTGAATTGAAAAATGTTAGAATTTGTATAAAATAAGCTGAATTAAGAAATGAATATTTTGCCCGACATAATATCCTATCGGGGGACGGATAAACTCAAAATTTTAAAAATTACAATCTGAAATATTGAACCCAAATCGATTTGTGTGAACAAAATGTAAACGCAACCACGCCACCGAGTCTCCATCGGCGAGCTTGGGCCTTAGAAGAAAATTGCTGGGTGAAAGCTGTGCTGGTGGTGGTGGTGAATGAGGTGGCCGGAAATCGTCAGGTGACAGTCGTTTTGTTCAGGCAATTGTATAATATGCCCTCTTTTGATATTGGTCTTCTTCCTGGCTAGTTAAGGACATCTTATATATATTTACTATTCGATACGACACGGTGTCGACTATATACTATGTTAATGCAGTAGTAGTTAATTATCTCGGGTTATGATATGACATATGACCAGCAATGTCAAAGGCACAGAAAAAAAAAAGGTACTTCCATGCATGAAAACATGGATGACAACAAGCATATATTCTGATTTGGAATCACAAGAAAACACTCCTCCATATTTCAGTCACAGGTTTTTCTTTACCCCCCCCCCCCCCCCCCCGCGTAAACTTTGATTGAAGAGCAATTTTACGGTCCTTGAAAAGATACTATGAGGTACATTTTTTTCTATTGTAAATTTGGTACCTTTTAGTACCTACGTAAATTTTACACTAAATTTTTTGTACCTCATAGTACCTCTTCAAGGACCATAGAATTGCTATTGATTGAAAGTGAATTCGGTGCCCTGAACTTTAAAACGACACATCCAACTACTCAAACTTTACGATAACATTCATATAATCTCCAAAGTTGGTTTTACAGTGTTTTTTTATCTAATCTGTATATACGTTGGATGAGTTTAACTACATGACATATGTATTATATCAGAGATATATATTAAAATTTTCCTTTTACCCCATGTTTGCTCTCATTAAAAATGGATACCAACGTAATACTAGTATGACATATTTATGGAGCATAAATTGTAAATGTGTCATATTCCTTATTTAAAACTTTTAGAGTCCAAATATGCAAAACCACCATACTTGTGGTGTACTTTAAACGGTATTACAAAGTCTAGGGTTAAATTAACAGAGACAAGTCGGCAACAAATTGCATGCTACGAACAGCACCGTCATCAACCTACTTTCAGCATCGATCACACATCAAAGTTCCTGTAGGATTTGGTGTCACAGTGCCTATACTCTTTCAGAATGAAAGTCTACATTTGAAAAAATACTACTACCTAATATCCGATTATCCGATTGGACGCTTTCAGTCGAACGAATCTGAATAGGCTCTTAGCATCCACGTCAACGCTTCTTTTGAGCATCGATCACACATCAAAGGTCCTTTAGGATTTGGTGGCACAGTGCCAATACTCTTTTGGAATGAAAGTCTACGTTTGAGAAAATACTAGTATACATATCCGCGTCATCACATTCTGTATAGATTTTCTTTAATCAAGTAAACACGCCAATTAACGATATTTTCACTCCGAGTCTTCTTCCCTTGCTGCTCATGCCAAAATGACTCATCTGCACTGCCGGCTGGTCATTGCCGTTGGTCTAGCCTTGAAGTCTCTAGTACAGAAACCTCTATAAGTGACAGTTGGGAACTGGCTTTACGTGCGATTTCCTAGCCAACACCTTTGCCTCAATTTTATTGGTGCCGGTTCTACAACCGGCACCTATACTATTAAAATAAAAAAAAAAAGAAGACGATGGCACCTACACTGCTGCCGGCCACCTCACCGTGCCAGCCTCCACCTCGCGAGCCTCCTCCACCACCACCGCCGCCGCTGCCACCAGATCTGGAGGTCGAGAAGAGGGAGGGCGGCGGAGAGGAGGTGGAAGGGCCCCTGCGAGAGAGAGGGGCCGGCCAGCCTCCTCCATCACCACTAACACCGCCGCCACCACCACCTCGCCGCTCGTGCACTAGCCTCCACCTCGCGAGCCTCCTCCACCATCACCGCCGCCGCCTCCACCGAATTTAGAGGAGGAGAAGGGGAAGGGTGGCGGAGAGGAGGGGGGAGGGCCCCCGGGAGAGAGAGGGGACCGACGCCTTCTCCACCACCGCCGCCGCCACCTCGCCGCGCGTGCGCCGATCTCCGCATCGGCCACCACCACACGGGCTAGCTGCTGGAGTAGGAGAGAAGGGGGAAGGGCACTCGGGCGAGGAGAGGGCCGCCATGCCCTCCGTGGGCCACGGCCGCTCCACCAGAGGCGAGAGAGAGGAGGAGTGAGGGACAGAGCGAGAGAGAGAGAGACGTGGCGAGAGAGAGAGAGAGATGTGGCAAGAGAAAGGAGGGGATGTGGATAAGTACTGGATGCCGGCGTGCCGGCGGTAAAAAATTGAGACCCGGTTTTTCTAATAGGTGTTGGTTTTTTAAAACAACCATCTCCTATAGTTGTCGGTTCTATTAAAAAACCAGAACCTACATTATAGGTGTCGGTTTTTTCTCTAGAACCGATACCTATAATACAAGTGTTGGTTCTATTAAAAACCCGGCACCTATAGTATTGACACCTATATTGCTTAAAGGTGCCGGTTCTATATTTTTTTCATAAGATAATCCAATAAATGACATTGACAAGCGTTTAAATCCAAAAAATGCCACCGACAAGTGTGAGTTTCAAGAAATATCATCGTACAAACGATTTTGTCCCAAAAATGCCATCGTCGTTAGGGTTCCGTCCATCCCGCACCATTAAGAGCTATATGATGAACAGTGTATGTAACGGCGTGGGGTGGACGGAATCGTAACGGCGATGGCATTATTGGGACAAAATCGTTTGTACGATGATATTTCTTGGAACTCACGCTTGTCGATGGCATTTCTTGGTTATCTCTTTTTTCATTGTGCGGAGGTGGGAAAATGCCCATAGGTGCCAGTTTTAAATGAATCGGCACCTATAAGGCCAGTCCTTATGAAGGTTTTAATAGATTTTTGTAGTAGTGAGTGAAATCATGCTCACCACCATGGCCTAACCTCCCCGAGCTTCACATACACTCCACAATCTTCTACACAACCACCAACGAGGAATTTAGAGTCTTCCATAACTAGCTAGTGCACATTGTTGTGCAATGTCCTATAGCTAGGGGTGGTAATGGGCCCAACATTTTGGCCTAGAAAATGTGAGGGTTGGGTCCAAAAAAGGGTTGGGCTGAAATTTAGTAGTTTTTTTGTGCTAAAAATATTTAAGGGTTGAGATGGGTTGTGAAAGAACCCACGGGCCTTGACCCATTACCACCCCTACCTATAGCCAAGCCAAAGATTCCACATTCTTTCTAGCCCAAATTGTCGGTTTGGTCACACTATGTCTTATCTGGATGCATGTCACTTTGTTTACTATCGTTGTAAGAATTGATCAAGGTCAGCCTGCACCAACTTCCGATAAGCCCCCACAATTTAGCTGCAAGCTGAAGCCAACAAATCATCATGCTATACTTAGCCACCAAATGACCCTAGCACCATATTTGGCCATCATCGATAAACCCTGGCCCTCCACCCAGAATGTGACTCCACTGATTGAATCGTCGATTGCCTCTAGTCTCAATCAACCCCTAACGTCACGCTTGACTGTCTCCTTGCTGAAAATAGCTCATCGAGATATCTAGGCTACCGCCCAAAGTATCCGACTCCACCGATTAGATCGCTCATTGCTACACCTAAAGCCACCATCGACCCAAGCACCATGTTTGATTGCCTCCTCATCAACTAGAGCTCATCGAGCAATTTGAACTACCTCCCAGGTGTATTCGTCACCACCAATCAATTTATGTTGATTGCCATCGTGCTCCACCATGTGCCAATATCCCTCTATCGACATCTTGTGCGGGCCACGCGTTGTGGGGCAGTTCTGTCGCACATATATCATGGATCTCGCTCTTGGATATGTCTTGATATTAAAGTGGTATCGGTATCACATCGATTATGATCTGCATAAGAGATCTATAAAAGATCCAAACATTCTAACGACACCACGACATAATATTTGTTAATGAGGTTTGACCAAAGCCTTCATTCTCAGGATATTGATTATGGGCCCTCCTCCATGATCTAATATAATTATAGCTTATCTGGGTATCCACGACCCCCAACTGGCCAGTCATATCTAGAGCAAGTTGGTGCAGCTGCGCTGGCAGTGCCCTGCCCATGTGGCTGTGCACCTACGCCCTGATATCATGGCTACTGCTTATGGTCTCGTAGTGCCAACTAAATATGTAGCTTTTTTTCCAATTAATTAATATAGAAAGTTTTATAGTCACCTTTTTTTATTAAAAGTACTAGAGATATTATGGATTGTTTTTATGAATTCTAAGTAATTTTTCAATACTTATTAAATTTAAATAAAATGTTGTAATAGACTTTAGCAACAGAGATTTATTAATTTCAAATTTAAAAACCTAAACCTTTCAACTCAAATTTTAAACTTTAAATTCAGTTTTTGGACTTTTAACTCCAAATCGAAACTTTCAACTCAAATTTTAAGCATTCAATTCAAAATTTGATCTTCCAACTTAAAATTTTGAATCTTTCAACTCAATGTTTAAAACTTTTAAATTTGAAACAATAAAACATTTTTTCAGTGTCCAAAATTTGAAAATTTTGACTTCAATTTTGAAACTTTTCAATTCGGATATTTTTAAATTTCAACTTGAAATTTAAAACTTTGAACTCATGTTTTAAGACTTTAAACTCGATTAGTTATTTATCATTTGATTATGGAGAAGTTAATTATAGACCTAAGTTAGGTCTTTTATATGGTTATAATCGGTGATGCCTCGCTAAGAGAGCGTATGACAAGAATCCTACTCTACTTCCATTCTAACACATATTACAATTCTATGTCCTAATGTATTACTGATATCGTCCTCAGTGGCGGAGGCAGCGTGGGGGCTGGGGGGTCTTTAGACCCCCTACCCCCTAATAAATCATTAGAGCCCCTATTAAGACCGCCCTAAAATTTAAATCCATATATCTATTGTAAGGGGGCTAAAATAGACTTTGTTTGAGATGGTTAGAAGGTCCAAAAGGCTGATGAGCCCCACTTTAATTTTGTCCTGGCGTGATCGTCCTCATTTGGCACAAACACATCCTTTTTCGGAATCACACGTGCATGCATGGACAAAAGAATCCTCCAGGTTTTAGTGGCACAGTACCCATACTGTTTTGGATTGAATGTCTACACTTGAAAAATATGCTATTCAAATAATCACATTTGTACCATGATAGAATTATTTATAATTAAGGAAATGCGCCAACGTTTTCATCTTCTATTTTCAGTGCAAAATATGTATCCGGAAATCTGAGAATGGCAAGATTGTGATCAGTTGATGTGAAAGAACTCGTAATCCCTGGTATATATATATATATATATATATATATATGATATACACCCTCCGTTTCATATTACAAGTTGTTCTGACTTTTTTCTAATCAAATTAATTAATGTTTATAGAAAAATATAGTAATATTTTCAATATAAAATAAACATATTATTAAAATATATTAATACTACATTTAATAAAACTAATTTGGTACTTTAGAGTTTTGCTAATTTTTTCAATAAATTCTATCAAACTTAAAAGAAGTTCTATTAAGTAGAAAAATAAAATCAAAACGATTACAATATGAAACGGATGAGGGATACGGTTGCTTACTTGACAAGATGGCCGTGGACGTGGAACCCCCTGCCCTCCGGCTGCATCACCACGCCGGGCGGCGCCGCCGGTCCCGTGAACGGCGGCCCGACCTTGTCCGCCCGGTAGTCCGTCCCTTCCGCCTTGGGCACCGTGAACACCGCCCTGTCCCTGTACCCGATGATGGCCATCCGGTCGAGGTCCACCACCATCACCACGCCTTCCACCGGCCGCGCGTAGATGTTCGCCGTGGCGTTGTAGTCCACCACCACGCACTTCATCTTCGCCACCCTGGCGCCGCCGTACGCCGGCTGCTCGGCGCCGAACCACCCCCTCGAGAGCACCCCGCAGCCGACCTCGCCGACGTCCAGCCCGCGCCGCCGGACGGACTCCACGAACGGTGGGTACGTGTACGGCAGCGCCATGGCCGCGATCTGGTCCTCGTCCGTGAACATCGGGAAGCCGGGCCCGCGGTGGACGGCGTGCGAGAGCACGGACGCGTTGTCGGCGGCGATGTCGACGGTGAACTCGTGCGACTGGCCGCCGGCCCGCGCGATGACGAACGCGCGGCGCGGCAGGGTCATTTGGGAGGAGGTGGCAGCGGCGTCGGCGGCGCCATAGGCGTAGGAGAGGACGTCCGGCTTGTCAGGCTCGTCGAGGCCGACGTAGTGGAAGAAAAGCGGGCGGGCCGGCACGAGCGGGGAGGCGAGCACGGCGGCGCGGATGGCGGTGATCTCCGTGGCGGTGAGCGGGTCGAGCGGGTGGTGGGAGTACTGGGAGCTCGCCGCCATGGCGATGGCGGCGGAGACGAAGACGATGGCGACGGCGACGACAGGATGCCCCATTGCCAGAAGCGATCAGGAAGCGTGTGGGGTCGAATGATCGTTTTTGCTTATGTACTTATATAGATGACCAGTTCTGCTGCTGACGAATTATACTGAAATCAGCAATGATCCAACAAGAGTTGATCTTTTTCCTGTTTAATCTTTAAAATATCTTGAAAATTACACAACGTTTCTGCCATTGTAGTACTAGTAAGCAAGGTCATTATTTCAGTATGTCAGGATAATAGGTGGTGTTGTTATTTTCCTGATAGCATGGTAGGATCAGGATCCTATAGTAGTAGTACATAACTTTATATTATTTTTATCCTAAAATGTAGCAATCTGGAGAGGGTTTAACATAATCTTTCCATTATTCATATTTGTTGTACTGGGGTGTGTATAATCCTTTGTTGGTATATTTAAGACGTGCGGAGAAAGCATAACATTTCTAATATGTTGTATAATTGGAAGACTACAATATTAGTTTTGATAAATTTAATTAACATTTTTTAACTTGTGTGAACTTAATCACATTATTTTCAAACCACCTTGTTTAAATTAATAATTTTGTATGATCGTAGGGATCAGGATACTTCGTATAATCCTGTAGGATCGTATGGAATTAAATGTGTATCGTGATACTCACAAACTTAACCACCTTAACTAGTAAGTAATCTACCTAGATATTTTGCTTAGCGGTACAAGTATTATCAGTTTGACTATTAATATATTTTGAAAAAGTCAAACTTAGCTCATTTATACCTAGATATTCCAATCTTATCTTCACAATATTATATATACTCCACATAATTTTCTACGGAGGGATTACTGTACATAACTTTCAACTCAATTATATGATGTATAGCATATGCCTGTGGGGTATGCATGATCCTTTCGTGAGTGGAACACAGCAGCAGAAGCACTATAGCATACGAAGAGAAATGCTATAGCGACATACCACCAAAAACGTTGAACACACCATCGATTATTGATATCTTGTTCCGTGGCCACAAACCTAACCTGAGCTTCATTCCTGTTGAAACTCAAACCGATAGCGAGAAAGATTAAACGAGAGATTAATGGAAATCTTATTCATCGATGGCTTGCATACACATAAATAGTTTATGTTGATATTACCTCATTAAAAACTTTGAATGAGAAAATCTAAAGGAAAAACCTTCTACAAAGAAAAAGAGTGTAATATAATGAAAATATGTTCTTATTCGGAAAGTGATACTCCACCTAAAGTTAGCAAACTTCTAAGTCGTTCATGCCAATTCCTTCAACACAATTAAAAAATATAGAGTATGGCAGATATTTAATTTGTGAATAAATCGATGGGATTATCACATGACTTAGTTTGTAAGAAGCTTATGGGGATAAGTCAATTTAGGAGCAATAAGCCCGAATTTTTTTATATAACCATTATTTTTAGCGAAATTAAATAGGTAGTAAATAAAATGGATATTTAGGAAACTAGAAAGGGCGTTATGGACGTTAGCATCCTCAGGATCCTAAACTGGACGCACTTGCCCACAGCGACCACTTCTCACCAATGTTGGGCCAGCCAAAGCCCAAAATCAACCTACTACGTAGCCCACCTGAAAATATAACAACCATCTAGGGCACAGATCACCCTAGGCGTCGTTGCCCACACTGCGCGCAAAGCTGAAGGCTCCATTTGGATCGTCGCCAGCGGCTGGCAACCCTAGTGCATGCTTGAGGGTCAAGAAGAGTCCAAATCAGAAATCTGGATTGCACATGCCATTGATGTCTCGCAGGTACACACCTAACGTGCTACTTCTAACCCTCTGAAAAGAAAATTCGGGAAAAAGAACCCATTGTATGGGAAATACTTCAAGAAGTAATGAGGGAAAATCCTGTACTGTTGAATAGAGCATCTATCTTGAATTGATTAGGCATACCGGCTTTCCAACCCACTTTAGTAGAGGGTCGTACTATTTGTTTACACCCAATAGTGTGTAAAGGTTTCAATTCGGACTTTGATGGAGGATCAAATGGTTGTTTATCTACTTTTATCCTTGGAAGCTTAGGTGGAAGCTCGTTTACTTATGTTTTCTTATACAAATCTCCTATCTCCCACTATTAGAGATCCTATTTGTGTACCAACCCAAGACATGCTTATTGGACTTTATGTATTATTGATTGTAACCCGTCGAGGTATTTGTGGAAATAGATATAATAGTTGCGGAGACTATCCAAACCAAAAAGTAAATTACAATAATAAATCTCTCAACGTTTGTTATCTAAGAACTCCCTCTAGCTCTTGATATGCAGGTAATGTTTTTTGGTTGCTCTGATTACTATGCACTCCACTTTACTAGATTATTTGATTCTTTTATATGATTGCTTCGTCCTTGATCATAGCTTTAAATAGATGATGCAGATATAAATTATTTACATTGGAATAGTTTGACCTATTGGATTATTGTTTACATAATAATCAATAATACTGATCAATAAAAAATTAATTAAAATCTAGATCAAACAAATTTACTCATTGGGCAGGGAGACCTCGATCGGTACATTAAGTACTAGATCTTCATACTCATTGAATTGCTTATGTGATTTCCTATTTGCAGGCATAGCAGATGAAAACATGATTATTGTTCTTGCATATGTGGACGGAAGAATCCAATATGGAGCTATATATGGGCGCAGCCGTAGAATGTAGTATTCCTGCGAAAACAACAATTCCAGCATGTGGCACTACCACATTCAAAGATATTAGAAACGAGATGTATATTTCAGGGACTTGGCTATAATGAGGAGCAGTACTCAGTAAGTATACAAGCTGATCGGTTTGATTTTGGAGCTCATGGACCACATTATTTCCAGCTAATTCCAATTTATGAAGAAAGAGGATGGCATATGATATTTGAAAAGACAAGGACACGTATAAGTTGGCAGACCGTGGAGCTATATGTGAACTGCACACCGACCCAAGTAGGATTGAGCCAAGTTAACAGCACATTCCATGTTAGAGAATCAAGCAGGCTACTGAATGATTTTGGTGTTTGTTTGGAGCAAAGTGCAATACATACATCAGCTCATGTTGCCCCTCATGTTATTTTCTTTTTGAACGACTCGCACGAGACGGTGCGAAGTTCTATTGATAGAGCATGAAAAAATTACAAGATTACAACCCTAGAGAGTCGTAACCAAGAAAAAAGAAAAAATATACCACCAATCACACACCGACAGCGCCAACACATAAGCCTGGGAGAAGGCTAGCACCGGACCGATCGCCGCTAAGCGTGACTGACCGCCGCTAGAACAACAATCCACCACCACTCAACCTCTGCCGCCATGTGGGATCACTGCACCGGCGCCCCCCCGCCGGTCAGCCTTCGTGCGCCAAAGACCGCCCACGTCCACCGCCAAAGGTCGCCTCCTCCACCGCCGGCCGCGCCTCTCGCGCCAAGCGGGCCTCCTCCACCGGACGCGCCTCTCGCGCCAATCCGACCTCCCTCCATCGGCTGCGCCTCTCGCGCCAAGCTGGCCTCCATCTCCGCCGCTCGCGCCGAGCCGGCCTCCGTTGCCATCGGCTGCGCCTCTCTGCGCTAAGCCGGCCTCCGACCCCTCCTCCAAACACTGCCGTGCCGGCCGGATGCGGCCGTCTACCACGCCCCCGGCTAGCCGTCCGAGATTGCCATGCCTCCCCATACCGTGGTGACGGTCGCCACCAGCACAGCCACTGCTGCCCTTCCATCCCCGCCGCCATCTCACCATCCTCTCGACCTTTCTCGCCGTCGTCGAGCTCCGATGGCACACGACGCAGACCGCCCACCGTGGTAGCCCGTGCCGCCATCGCCGCGACAACCAGACTCCTTCGGCGTTGCTTCCGCCACCGGCGCGGCCAGGTTCGCCTCACCGACGCCATCCCCTCGCCACCTCCGTCGCCACCATAGCAGCCGCTGCTGCCCTTCCATCCCCGCCGCCATCTCGTCATCCTCCCACACCTTGTCACCGTCGTCGAGCTCCGACGACACACGGCGCAGGCGGACCGCCGTGGTAGCCTGCATCGCCGTCGCTGCGAACTCGTCGCCACCACTGTCGCGACCGCCAGACCTCCGGGCGCTGGATCCGCCGCCGGCGCGGCCAGGTTCACCTCACCGACGCCATCCCCTCGCCGCCCTCGCCGCCCTCGCCATCCCCGCCACCAGACGCCGCCGTCGGCCGCCGTCCCGCCAGATCCAGGCGCGGATCTGGCGGTTTCCTCTGCCGTCGCCAACGCTTCGACGCTGCTGCCACCACCACCAAACACCGTCGCCGCACCGCTCAGCCCCGCCGCCGGCTGCTCCACCGCCAGATCCTGCCGGCGGCATGGATCTGGCCAGTTCCGCCGCCCCCGAGCAGGTCCCCCCCCATGCCCGAGCGCGAGGATGAAGCCCCGCCGCCGCCGTCCTTGTGGCCGGGCAGCGGCGAGGCCAAGGAGGAGGGAAGGGGAGACGAGCGCCGGTGAGGTCGTCGCCTCCTGGTCGCCCGTGGTGGAGGGACACGAGAGGAAACATTTTTAAATATTATCCTCATGTTATTTTCCCATCTTCTGCTCGGACATATAATCAAAATCCATGTGCTCAATCCACCTAACCAGGTTGATGGTGAACGCGGAACGTACGCAAGGACATTTTTTATGTGAGGAAAATATTGCCAATGATACTTATGTTGGAATTGGACGATATGATGATAATGAGCATGAATCTGATAGTGGGATTGAGCTCATTGATCATAGTTCAGATGACGAGCGCCCAAAACGCACTACTACAAAAGTGATTTTTCTGTACGAGACCCCTTGATTTTTACAAATGGACCATAACTAGTGGCGTCTGCAAAAATCGATGGTTATTTTTGCATGCGGCCCCTTAAGTGGCCCGTATGAAAAAATCGATTTTCCCATACGGGTTTCTTAAGAGGGCCGCATGCAAAAATAAGCTCATTTTTGCATGCGGCTCACTTAAGCGCCCGCATGGAAAAATTGAATTTTCCATACGGGCGAGGAGGCGTATGCAAAAATAAAATTTGAAAAATTTAAAACCAATGTATCTCATTCATATAAACTCTAAATTAGATGATTCTTTTTCTAAATGTTTCTAAAATC